ATCAATGCCTCAACTTGAACTTCCAGATGTAGGATAACTCAGGTCCCAGAGAGGCACCTCCCTTTATTGCCCCCTTCCACCTCCATCTCCACAGGAGATGCTCCATAGGAGCATCTTCCTATCAAAGACAGGATTCTCCTTGTAAACAGGGGAAGGTGAGCAGGCTTCCCTGGCCGTCTCCTTTAAAGAGTGACATGCTGTTCAAATGAATGCAGATCAAATGGCCTGCCAAGCACAAGCAGCGATGTAGACCCCTGCATCAGTCAGAAAGCTGATTTTAATTCAACATGGAGAAAGGCACCCCTGAAGTCATCAGTACATCAACATCTTTCCCAGCTGAGCATGCGTTTTTCTTACCTGCCTGACTGTTTGTATTGGCTGCATCAGCTTCTCCAGCTGAGATCCTCCCTGACAGAAAGTTCACCCTCTGTAAGAGGGACCTCTGAAAGTCACAGGTTGGCAGCTAGATCTTCTGCTACCTGCAACTACTCTGAGGTGAAACTTCTGCTGCAAAAAGTCTAGTATTTTTCTACAAAGCCAGTCAGACCTACTGCTCTCTCTGAGGTCTGTGCAAGTGTGCAGTAGGCACGTTGATCCTTGTTGATCCAGGAAGTTTGTCTCTGAGCCTTGCAGGGCTGCAGGTCCCAGCGTGCTGTCCTGGAGCAGTGCAGGCATTTTGCCACTTATGCCCTCAGCACCTTCCAACAGCTGTATTAGCAGAGCTGTCTGAAGGAAGGAGGATTAAATCTGCACCTCCACAAATGGAAGTGCCTAGTGAGAGGCTCGTTTGTAAGCCCACAGCACAAGGAAAGCCAGAGGAGGCTTAAATGGTGTTCCTTCTTTGGTTGCCATAACCTGGGATTAAACTCTTTCATCTTCAGGAGCTCTGGTGATGTTTGTGCTATTTTAACAACCCCAACTGAGGTGGGGGACGGACATGGTGAGATTTGTAGTTGCAATCATAGAATGGTCTGAGTTGGAAGGGACTTTAAAGATCATCTAGTTCCAACCCTAGTGCCACAGGCAGGGACAGCTTCCAGTAGACCAGGTTGCTCAAAGTTCCATCTAGCCAGGGATGGGGCATCCACAGCTTCTCTGGGCAACCTGTTCTAGTGTCTGACACCGTAAGTGTCTGACTGTCACTTTGGCTCTTCTGAGGGATATATACATATATATATGTATAAAAAAGTGGCTATATGGACTTGCTGGTGTTTTCACTAGCTCAGCTTCCTCAGCTATTCCTGACTACTCAGGCAGAGCAGGCTTCCTCTGTCAATACTTTCTATAGTCAGCCTGTTAGTCAGTACTTTTTAGATTATTTGTCACCTGATGCAGAAAAAAGGAAAAATCTATACTTATGCTACAAGTAATGGTGGCTCTTCCAGGTACATTCACCATAGAAGCACCACAAGTGATTATTGTCCTTCACTCTGAATGAGTTTCTACTGTTGGCAAACCTGAGACAGGTTAGAGTGGGGCATCCTGATCTTGGTTTGCTCCACTACCACTCTGAGCAGCAGCAACTCCTTGCTTCCTTGGGCTGCACGTGTTGATCCTCCTTCTTCCTATACCGGGATGCCAGTCTGTGTTTCAGCTTTCCAAATGTCACTCCACACTTCCAACTAGGACATCTTGCACACGTATTTCTCTTCTGTGGCCCTGCTCCCTTTCATCAGCCACAGCAAACCTTGTCAGCTCAATTCACATCAGCACCTAAACCCCTGAGGTGGGAGCACAGGTTTGGGAGCAGCAGGGCTACAGAAGCCATGGAGGAGGGGGATTGCCAGTTCCCAAAGCAGGACATTGACAGCAGTGGTGCCTGGGATGGCTTTTGCCCCACAGTGTGAGTGAAGAGCAGAAGTGGGAGCTGCCACTGCTGCAGACCTCATTAGGTGGTGTGATGATGTACGTGGCTCTGTTTGGGAGTCCTTTGCCTTATGCCACTGCCAGTAGTGGTTGGGAGGGTTCACAGGCAGAGCCTGGATGGACATTACTGTCTTCAGAGAACTTGATCCTGTCCATGTGAGTACGTGCTCACCTGGGATCTGTGTGGACAGCACTTCTTAAAGAATCACAGTTTCCTTAGGGTAAGTAACTACTTTTCATTTTGTTTCCTTAAAGAAATATTTAAAACCCAGGATGACTATGTAATGCTATTAAATCCTTATTGAATTCCACCATTATTATGACCCTAGTGTTTGTAGGATCTTTCCTCTGGTTTAAAACTGATTGATTTCAGAAATTGAAGGTAGATTTGCTGTCCTATATACAAGGCAGAAGGAGAGATACTGTGTTATCAGTACTGTGCTCTCATTGCTCTCGTATTTCAAAAGAAAATAACCGGGAAACTGGTGTTTTCCTTTACTGTGCTTGAACACTCTTAAACATGAAATGAAAGTTAGGAGGAGGATTTTTGGTTGTATTCATGTACTGTAAATTTGGGGAAAAAAAGCAAATTACTATTTTTGATATGAAAAAGAAGAATGATATATTTTATATTTATATTTTAGAATTATTTTTTATTATTTATCTTCTGTATTAGGGTTTGAGGGCTTTTTTTTTTGCCACTTATATGGTAGAGATTCAAATATTACCTAACCCGGAATTGTCTTGGTGTCTGGAGAGTTAGCAAAATTTGTGCCTCACAGATACTGGAAAATCCGATAAATTCTAAGAACTATAATTTGTCAAATTATAGAAGTCATATTTTGTTACTACTACCCAAGTGGGCTTTGGGCATGTGCATGTGACAATGCGTTTTGCAGTGACATCTCACTTCTCTGCATCATGTGGAGAACAATCTGAGTTTTGTTAGTCATTAAAAATCCTTCCTACCTCATCTGTTTGAGAAAAAAGCTTAATGACACTATAACTGAAAGCAGTTACAAGGGGAATGGAACAGCTTTGTCCAGAATTCTGCCTCAGAGATTTTCTAGCACCAAAGGTTTTTGAGAAAGATGGTCTACAAAATCAGCATTATCACTAACAACTTCTGTATTCAGTGCATAAAGAAAAGTCTTTTATCCAATAGTGTATTTATTGTTGCAAAACAGAGAAATAATTTTATTTTATGTTTTCACTTAATCCTGTCAAATGCAGTACATGTTTTCATTATTCATACAAACTTGCCCCTTTTGTGTGTATGTTGTTAAGCTCTTTGTATAATAATGGTCCTGTAGAAGTTGAGATCCCAGCTAATTGGAGGTATAGCATTGCCCTCATCTGGTTCCACTGCATTGTGGTTTTGCTGTATTCATAAGGTAATGAATAAGAGTACCTGACCATCTTCCTGCTTTCTCTTCAGCATTTTAGCTACACCTGGTGTTTATCTTGCTTATTTACTTGTTCCAATTGCTTCAGTTTCCCTTGATCCAGTAGCTTTTCCATGCCTCTAGTGGCCTGTCTTTGAGGGCATCTGCTTTTTGCTAGAGTGACTTCAGATGTGTGATGAGCATTGAGGACTATCAGAATTTAAGAGAAAATGTTAAGTGCTGTTGAGAGGACTTTATAATAGTTTAGATAGAATTCGCTGGGTTCTTTTTTCTGATCAGGAAATAGTCTGTAAGTAGGAATAGCTGAGGGACTAAGTCCATGAGGACTTGGTCCGTTACATCTACGTGGCTGTCTTAAATATTGTCTACTTATTGTGAGCTACATTAGTAGAAACATCTGGGGAATTAAACTCTTCCTTTCTGCTGCAACAGTGGAAGATGTTGAGATGGGCATCGCAGGGTAACAAATTTTAAGGGTCTTGCTGGGAGAGGGAGTAATGAGTCATCAGCATTTTCTCCCTTAAACAAGGTGATTTGAGCACCCCCCAAAAGAGGAGGTGAGAGTTGTGCTCTTTAGTTGAAAACAAAACTTTCGCTCTTTCTTTGGGTACTGGAGCTGTTTCTGCCTCCTGCCTGTATGTACAAAGCCCCACATAAATGCTCCTCAGCTGTCAGAGAGCTTCAGTCAGTTGCTCAGAAGCACTTTTGACTTTACTGGTTTGCTTGCGTTCATGCCTACCAGCAGAGGAGGCTGGGGCTGTGTGAAGCTGAACCCAGTATCAAAAGGAAGAATGCTTTCTGGAATGAATGGGAAGCAAGAACGGAAAATGGTTTGTGTGTGGAGAAACATTACATTACTCCAGGGCTCCTGCCAAATAACTTCAGCCTGCTGTGCCATGTGGGGTGTGGGCACTGTATAGGGCTTCGCCCTTACATACCTGGAGGAGTTGGACGGGACAAACCTCACCATTACAATGAGGCACTGAGCATGTTTCCCACATATGCCTGTGTCATCCAGGAGGCATTCTAGCAAGAAAAGGAAGACCTGCTGCAGGTTTACAAAGGGATGGTGCAGGGAAAAGGGAGATAAAAGGGAAATTCCAGAAAGGCCTTCTTGGTGTGCTCAGGCATACCTAGACTTGCCCTCTACTGGGATTTACCTGTAGCATGTACATCATGATGAGGTTTTATTATTTTTTTTAAATTAATTTTATTTTCCTTTGCAGGTCACCTTTTAAGCTGCTATTTCCTGTATAATTAAGCAGAATGAAGGCATTAGGTTCTAGTAAAGTTGGGCCTAATCCAGAATCTTCTCTTATTCAGTCCTTTCTGAGTAAGAAACTCAAGTCTGGGCCCAGCATTTTACATGTTTTGCTGTTACTTCTAAATTATTTGTGGTCTGTGGATTTTATTTTTTTTTTGTTTTAACTTTATGAAAACTCCTTTGTTTTTGTCTAATTTTATCTCTTTATGTGTCACTGTCCAGCATAGCATTAGTTGAAATTATGTAAGTATACTGCAAATCGAAGTGCATAATTGCTACTGATAATGCAAGAATGATTCCTACAGTTTATAATTAACAGTATATAATGTTCTGTGCATGGGTTGGATCTATCCCTTTTAACTTTTCCTTTCCAATTCTTTCCAATCCCTGGTCTTGCTGCATCCCAGCCTTTCCGAACGTACTGGTTTCACTCAAGTCTAGTCCATTCTTCCTTTTGTTTTTCAGACCAGTAAAAATGGGAAGTACTGGATTCTGGTTTCCTCCAAGAAGAGTCAGCGGAACTGGTTAAGACCAAAATCTGAGGACTTTAGTGGGCAAACATCAGGTGTGCATTGAACAGAGGCTGTTTTAATTCTGCTTTAAGTATATGTTTCTTTAAAAATAGTATTATATATGAGCTGTTGTGTAATGTGTTTGTTATATTTGATACTGCATATAATCATTCATCCTGCAGTTGTGAAAACACCAGTAAGAATGAGGATTTTAAGTGATGATGTGTTGAGACACAAACAGGCAATATAACTCATAGAATTCTTTCAGCTGGTCTTTGGAAAGTTTAATATTTGAGGATCAGTGGTTTTTTATCTCCATTGCTCAGTCTGTATATCCACATTAAAAAAAAAAAGAAAACTGTGGTTATTTACTATTCAGAGATCAATACTGAAGTTCTTAATTGCCTCACCTGTTGAGAAATGGTACTGAGATAATAGCGCATACGTTTCTTTTAATAAAACGCTGTCGTTGTCAAAGACTGGATCCACACTATATTTGTTCTAATGATGCAGTTTTGAGGACACGTAAACACAGTTCAAAGTCAGCTTAATTAGTTTTGGTCATAGAGGAACAAAACCTGAATTCTTCATCCCTGTGAATGTTCTGAGTTACTTCTGGTACAGCATCTAGGCTGCCTGAAGTTTTGGAGAAGGTAACAGTAGTGTTGTATTGGCCTGAATATAGGGTGGCCTCCAGCCTGAGGTGTGATCTTTGCATTGAGAAAAGGACTGAGAAGTTGTCAGTTGTTAATTTAATAGTTAAGCTTAATATGCTGTTCCACAACAAACACTGCTTTTGATCTCACATCAGACCCTGCAGATCACCCTTCTACATGGCCTAATATTCTCCCCAGCCTGATGCATGTTCAGTTCCTCCCCACTCACCCTCAGTGTTACCAGCTCACCCCAATCCTCATGTCCTTGGATACTCCCAACTCCTATGCAGTGCTTCCTGTGCCTCTCTAGCCCCACAGCTCCATCCTGGTTCTGTCCACTATCCTTCCCTGCAGCAGCTCACTCTCCCTCCCTGTATCCTGCCTGCTGTGCCTGCTTGCCATGTCATCATCTGGGCACAGAGTCCACTTGCTGTTGAGCTCTGGACCCAGCATGGTCAAAGTAACCACACTCCCTGCAGCAGACTGTGGAGGCAGTTCCCTTGTCCTTTGCCACTAATGCTGCTGGCCCTGTCTCAGGCTAGGTGTGGATTTGAGGGAGGCAAAAGGGGCTGGAGCTCCTTCTTACCCTGTTGAGGCTGTAAATGCCCTAGCCACACAGTGAAGGCTGTGGCTGCTGTGCTGTCAGCTCTCTGTGGTGGCTGTCATACAGGTGCCTGTGTGGTATAAAAACAGCCTGTGTAAGTGTAGATTGGGTTGGATTTTTTTTCTCCCCCCTGAACTTTGTTTGTCCGGAGAGATTAGGCCGAAATGAAACTTCATTCTACATTCAGGCCAATATGCTTTGAAGACCTGTGTGTTCATTTACAGAAAAGCAAAATTAATTTTATTACCAGATTCTGATTAAAGCCTATATTGAAAAAAATCTTTTAATCTACAAATATATCACAATTTTGATGTGACTCAGACCCTCCTTTTGATTACATTGATGGCTACGTTGAAGTCTTTGGAACCAGTCTTCCATTACTTTTATTGAAGAAAATTATTGTTCCCAAGTCTCAAACAACTGTTTCATTTTTTCACTTATGAACTAGATAGGGGATTATGAGACAGAAAATAAAATTAAGCTGATACTTTGAAGACCTGTGCATGTTCCCAGTTATGGAACTGATGTCTCTAGGCATCATCCCACAAATGGGAATGAGTCTGAGACAAATCTGGAATCATAAGAGTCCTAAAGAAGCACCTTTTCTATCACTGAGTATCTTTAAAGAGGTTACTGTTTCCTTATAAAATTCGTGGGAGTAAAGGTGGTCTTACAGATCTGCTTGCTTAAAGAAGGTAGCACAGTTTAACCTGTCATTCAAAGACTTAAGGGTTGAAAAGAAGCAGATTTCCCTCTTGGTATGCCAGTACTTCTCTCCTCCTGTAAAGACAAGGGAAAAGTTATGGGGAGGAGGGAGGAAGAGGCATAGACAAAGACATAATCTGTGTACACATTTCAAACTGAAATCTCAGTCTGAAGATTTCATAAAATGCAGGCATTGAAAAGGCACACACACACCCTTCTCCCCTCCCTGCTCCTCCTGTCCTGCTGTGCATTGAGGAAAACACAGGCTCTCCTTCCTCCTTGCTTTCTTCCAGGGCCACACTGGGGATTTTGCAAGGACTGTGCAGTTTTGCCCCTGTCACACCTGGGCGCTGCTCTCCACTCCACTCTGGAGCAGTTGGCTCCCTCCATCTCTGCTGAGCCTCAGCAGGGGAGAGAGGATAGCCAAGGCCAGGCCTAGGCTCCCTCCAGCCATCCAGCCTCCCTCGCTGCCAGCAGGGAAGAGCTCAGTTTGTTTTCCGGGGAGGTGGCGCTGGGCTGGAGCAGCTGCAGCCTGGTGGTGCCTGCCTGGCTCCCAGCTGCCC